CGACGAAGCGATCGACGGAGGAAGCGGCGATATCGCGAGCTGTATTTTTCACGCGACAAAAAGTCCCGACGCGATTGACGGACAATGCGCGCGACAATGGGTCCGAGGTCTGGTCCAGTTCGGATTCCACGGCGCCGCATTATTGATCTGGCAATATTTTCTATTCAAGATCACGCGCGGACACGTCGATACCTTATTTCTACACGCCCGGTGCTGCGCCTGTGATACGCACCGCTGAAACACTGACATCCAGAATGGAAGTCGACGTCAAGTCGGAAATTGCAACAGTCACTCGTAGCGAATGATTTACCGGACGTCGAGATATCTTTCGCATTATGGTCGACTAGCGGTTAAATTAAGTTTCACTTCGAAACAAACCGACATTCGTTGGCATCGTCCGTGTACTCGTCCGCCGAATATAAGATTCATCGAAGAAAGAACGAAAAAAACAGCTCCTCGGAAAGCTTTTTTTCGAGTATCACGGCGATATACTTCTTGATTAATTAGCACTTTGTAGTTTTATCCACTTCGTTTTCGCGTAATATTTTGAATCCAGAGATTCGAAGTAATTGTTTCTTGCTCTGATGGAAAGTTCTGTGCGAGGTTGTGTGTTTCATTTCATGAGAAGATATTTGTTTCTGTGTATTTATGTTTTATTGTACAGGGTTCTAAACCTTGAAAAGGGTTTTAAAAGATTATAAAAGTATTAGTTTTATATAACAATTTGATATAGTAATGGTGATGGTCGAAATGCAGATATTACAGATTTAGAAGTATTACGTTTGTATTCGGTAAATCAGCGAATATCACGCTTGTAACAAGCAGTAATCAGCTTTCTAACTGTTCGTTCCAAAGGGAAACGCAAACAAGCTTCGAGATATGAACTATTTACGCAAATGCTGCAAACAAATAATATATATTCAGAACATGAATTCAATCCGCTGAGAACCAAGCAATGATTTACTACAATATTATAAATATATCGATTCCTCTAAATTTTGTGAAATTCTAAAATCTAGATGAAAGAACAATAATTCTAGGATTTTTCGTAACATCAAGAATCCCAACATTAAATTCGATATCGTAAATTGATTGAAAAGTATTGTTGTTGGTCCTTAATGGTTTAATTTTAATAACTATTTAATACTGTTGTAGTATCATTCACTGAGTAGCATTCAATAATTCGTCGCAACGCCAAAATGGTTAAAATCGACCAATTTATATAACCTTAGAAATTGTATAGAAAATAACAAAGTACGAATGATTTTTCGTAAAATACATAAATGAAAACTTGTGTGTTTTATAGTACCTCAACGTTTCTCAAATTTTTTTTTTACTTTAATATCTCTGATGAAAATTTCGACAGTTCTACTGTTGACATTGATGAACGAATCGCATCC